GCCAAATTACTATCTGAAAGATTTAGTGCCAATCTATCTATAAATGTTTTCATCTTAAAGGAAAAGAGCAGGACGGGTGAGATGGCTCACACCTGTAATCCCAGCACTTTGGGAGGCCAAGGTGGGGGGATTACCTGAGGTCAGGAGTTTGAGACCAACCTGGCCAACGTGGTGAAACCCCTTCTCATCTAAAAATATAAAAATTAGCTAGGCACAGTGGTAGGTACCTGTAATCCCAGCTACTCAGGAGGCTGAGGCAGAAAAATCACTGAAACCCAGGAGGCAGAGTTGGCAGTGAGCCGAGATCGCGCCATTGCACTCCAGCCTGGGTAACAAGAGTGAAATACTATCTTAAAAAAAAAAAAGAAAGAAAAGTAAAGAAAAGAAAAGAAAAGAAGGAGGAGCAAGTTGTTAGTAGATTCCCATTCCATACAATGAACAGAGGTCTAGTTTTCTTATTTGAAAGTTTCAGAAGTTGATACAAGATGGAGTAGAGAAGACTTAAATGTCTGGTAATAGACATCAACATGTAGGCAATGCATTTAATAAAAATTTTTTAAAATTTCTCTTTCATGTGTTTCTTTCTCTTTCTTATGTTTCTTTTTTTCTGTCTCTCCCCTCCATCCTCTGTCCCCAGAATAAGGACAGGTTCTCTTACTAGAGGGACAAATATACCTAAGGCAAAATCTCCTACAAAGCATTTTGTTGGTGCCTATGAGCATAAGAAATTAATGGGGGCGTGATGGGGGAGAGTGTTAATTGGCAAAAAGGAGAATAATAATAAAAAAGCATTTGATCCAAGGTTTAGGGCAGGAAAATTAGAGTGGTTGCATATTATAGTGGGCACTCACATATGGCCCTTTCATCAGGCAGAAAGACCAACATTGGAAAAGAGGATTTAAGAGACTACTTTGCTTATCTTCGACTCCTCTATTTGATTATTAGTTAAATATATTGTAAAAATAACTACTGGGAAAAGAACAATAAAGCCCTTCAGACTCACAGACCCTTTTGCTAGCCTATTTTTGTCAAGATCCCTGTGATTAAAACACTGAGTGCATTAAGAAAAGAAATAGAGACAAATGTGTGTGTGTGTGTGTGCGCACGCACACACATAGGAGGGTGAGGGTGGAAGATTGTTGTGTGAAGTGTGAACATTTTGTGTTTAAATTGTAAAACAAACAACAAAACAGATAAAAATATTTTAAATGAGTTCCCTGTTGCCTTAGTCCCTTTGTGCTGCTATAACAGAACACACCAGACTGGGTAACTTATAAATAATAGAACTTGATTTCTCGCACTTCTGGATGCTGGGGAGCCCAAAATCAAGGCACTGGCATCTGGTAAGGACCATCTTGCTGCATCATAACTTGGCAGAAAAGCAGAGAGGGCGAGAGAGAGCAAGAGATTAAATTCACAGCCACAGCCTTAAGCCTTCAATTTGATTAATTTATTTAATGTCAATGAAAAGAGTCAAACTCTGTAATATATTTTAAGAGATTTATTCTCAGCCAAATATGAGTGACCCTGGCCCATGATACAGCCTTCAGGAGACTCTGAGAACATGTGCCCAAGGTGGTCGAGGCACAGCTTGATTTTATACAACTTAGGGAGACATGAAACATCAATAAAATACACAAGATACACATTGGTTCAGTCCAAGAGACGGGACAACTCAAAGGTGGGGAGGACTTCCAGGTTATATGTAGATTTAAAATTTTTCTATTTTCAATTGGTTGAAAGAGGTTGTGGTGACCAAAGTTTTAGCCTTGAGATAAAACTTTTATCATGCTACCTCCAGGTATCAGGCTTCAGAGAGAATAGATTGTATATGTTTCTTATCAGACTTAAGTCTGTCTGATGCTGATGCTAGAGGGGTATAATGAGGCATATCCGACCCCTGCTTTTTATCACGGCCTGAACCAGTCTTTCAGGTTGCATTTTACAGTGCCTGGCCAAGGAGGGAGTCCATTCAGATGGTTGGGGGGCCTTAGAAGTTTATTTTTGGTTTATATTAACATTGTTTAAAAATGAATTTTATTGCGTATATTTAAGATATACAAGATGCTATTATAAGATACATACATATGTATTTATATATGTCAGAGTGCATTCATCTTATTAATCTTACATATATATGTGTATATCCATAAATACATATATATATGGTTACTATAGTGGAACGAATTAACATACCCATCTTCTCATTGTAAAAACTGAGGCCAAGCTGTAGTATATGGTGAAGGATGCTCTGACACCTGGGGCTCACATAGTATCACAACTGGCTGCAGGAGCAGCACTAGAGCTTGAGGGTAACAACTATCACTTCTCCACAAATCTGGAGTGAAAACCATCTCATTTCTTGAGTGTCATGATCAAAGTCACCTTAGGTCTACCCTATAGATTGAAATGTTTAACTTTATTAAATATTACCTCAAAGGTATGAGTAGAAAAAATATTCACATAACTTAGGGCTGCCTAGTTCTGCAAACTCCTCCAGAAACAAAAACCTACCCTCCTTAACATTCCTCCTTCCTTAATGTGAGTGCAGAACCTATCTCCTGTCTGTTTCCTGCCTTCTTCTTCAACGCCTTTATGGCCTAGGCACTAGTCTGTGAATCCTGTTTTCACAACCAGAATCACCTCTGCTCTCAGTTCTACTGTTCCAGCCCATTTCCTCTGTCCTCCAGCGATGAAATCACTCAGACTCCCTAGGGATGGCGCCAGTACCTGCATTTTTAATAAGCTACCTCCCCATCCCTGCCCCCAAAAGATTTTTTTAAATGTTTAATTGACACATACTAATTGTACATATTTATAAGGTACACAGTGATGTTTTGATACATACAATGTGTATTGATCTGATCAAGGAATAAAGAATCTCAAACATGTATCACTTCTTTGGGTTGGGAACTTTCAATATCCTCTATTCTAGCTATTTGCCAAAGTATACTACTGTTAACTATAGTCATCCTATAGTGCTCTGGAACACTAGAGCTGATTACTCCTACCTCCCGATAATATTGTATCCTTTAACAAATCTCTCTCTGTCCCCTGGTTCCCCCTACCTCCAGCCTTTTTATAATCAGCATTAATTCCCTCATGAAGGCGGAGCCCTCATAACCTAAACACCTCCCAACACTGTTGCACTGGGGATTAGGTTTCCAACACATGCTTTTTGGGGGCCACATTCAAACCATAGCAACTATGTTATTGCAATTTTAGAAGTGAATGTTGTTAACATGAATTAATGTGATGTTATAAACCATGATATTAGTTGATGACTAAGGTCAAATGTGAAAGGTAATTTATTTTTAAAAATGTATTTCCTTATATTTATTCCTTTCTTTTTTTTTTTTTTTTTTTTTTTCTTTTTTTGACAGAATCTCGCTCTGTCGCCCAGGCTGGAGTGCAGTGGCACTATCTCGGCTCACTGCCAGCTCCGCCTCCCAGGTTCAAGCCATTCTCCTGCCTCAGCCTCCTGAGTAACTGGGACTACAGGCGTCTGCCACCACACCCAGCTAATTTTTTGTATTTTTAGTAGAGATGGGATTTCACTGTGTTAGCCAGGATGGTCTCGATCTCCTGACCTCGCGATCTGCCCACCTCAGCCTCCCAAAGTGCTGGGATTACAGACGTGAGCCACCGCGCCCAGCCTATTCCTTTCTTTCTTAACCAAAGAGAAGCTCTCTTCTTTATCAAATCCACAGTATTTCATTTGTCACAAATTTTGACTCTGATCGTAAAGATATAAGAATGATATATAATTTCAGAAACAACATTGTGAAGCATAGGTACAAGGTAACTGACATTTACTATAAAAATTAAAAAGCAAGTATAGGAATTACTTACTGGCAAAGTATACATTACAGTATGGATATGCTCCAGAATCTCTACAGATAAGTCTTTTGTTCTTAATTTAACAAATATGAACTAAGAATTAACTTTGTTTTAGCCACCAAGAGTAGACAAATAAATTGACTTTAGTTTAAATAAATTGACTTGGTAAGCTATATTTGATCCCTTGTGCTTCATTACTTTTGATGAACTTAGACAGCAGCCATAACCCAGATCTTCTATCCATGGAGAAGTGTTGTTGAGGGCAGAGCAAATTGGACATGGTCAACGGAGGAAGCCACGAGAAGATGTATTTTTTTCTTCTAATCATCTCAGGCAGTGAGTTCTCTAAAACTTGGAGTTCTCCAAAGATAGGTTGAACTTCCTAAGAAGTCTATTAATAATCCATTGTTTGGAAAAGTACAACTAATTTAAATGTATATGGAAACTGCCAGAGCATCCTGGATCCAACTCACACAATTGAAGGGCAGGTGAGGTGGCCACAATCAGACACGTTATGTTTGCAAGAAGCAGGTGAGCCTCCAGCTCTGAAGAAGATAACCTAGATCAATTAATCACATAAAAATTAAAACATGCTCAAATATGCAACAATTCAGGAAGATATTAAGAAGATATTTCATAATATCTAAAAACTCTTTTGAAAAATGCACTTAATAACAAAATATAGCCACTCAATATGAAGATAAAAACAGTTGATTATTAAAATGACTTCAGAATAAAATAAAGACTAAATAAAAGTTGCAATTAAAGTTTTTGAATAGAATATAAATGTTATAAACCACAACAACACAGAAGTAACTAGATGACTGACAAAAAGAGATTAATGATCAGAGGCAGTGGTTCATGCCTGTAATCTCAGCACTTTGGGAGGCCAAAGCAGGAGGATCACTTGAGGTCAGGAGTTCGAGATCAGCCTAGGAAGCATAGTGAGACTCCATCTCTATAAAAAAAAAAAAAAGAAAGAAAAAATACAAATATTAGCCAAGAATGGTGGCACACACCTGTAGTTCCAGCTACTCGGAAGGCTGAGATGGGAGAATCACTTGAGCCCAGGAAGGTCAAGGCTACAGTGAGCTATGATTGTGGCACTGTACTTCAGTCTGGGCAGTAGAGGGAGACCCTGTCTCAAAATCAACAACACAATCCTTTTGTAGTCTGTAAGTATGATGATTGGGTGTTCATGCTCAAGTGTGAGATGTGCCACCCTCATACCTTGTTATGACTTTGGCACATTACCTTTCTGACAAGAAAAAAATAAACAACAGCAGCAACAAAACAGATAGATGGAATGAGGAGGAAAAGGTGAAATATAACAATCTTAAGTTTATTGTTTGATACATCTTTCATAGTGGGTGTTATAAAACATTATTTCAAGGGAATAGCTCAAGAAAGAGAAGATGATATATTAGTTAAAGATAATAATTGAGAATAACTACAAATAACGATATAGCCACGAAAATTCCAATGGTACAGTTTGGTGAATTCCTCATCTCAGTGGGAAATGTGAAACAGTATATTAATTCTTCATTTTTACAGTAGGAATTTACATTCTTATAGATGCTGTCTAAAGTGGAGAAAGGAATAAAAATTTAAGTAAATTACATCGAGTTATAAATTCACTGAGAAAAAAAGTCAAACTTCCAAACTGGTAGGAAAAGCATGGACACACAAAAGTAAACAAAACACATCCATAGAGCAAAATATTAAAATCTAAAAAAGTATTGAAAACAGAAGGCATAAAACAAAATGGCAAAAAAATGATCAAATACATATGTCACATATAAATGTAAATAGTTTAAACATTAATATGTCAGTATAAATAATATACAGGTAATATAAACAACATACAGATAAAAAATAAAACAACCATGTTGGATATACAAAATACATATGAACAATAAAGTGTTTGAAATGTTACAAGTGAAGGTGTGAGTAAAATATACCTGGAAAATATTACAAAAATCAGGAATTTAATGTTAATATCAGACTGCTAAACTCAGGTAGATAATATTAAATAAGACCAAAAAGACAACTTATATCAATAAGTGGTTCAATAAGCTATTTATCAAAATAAATATAACATCAGAATTTATAAATCAAAATAATAAGAAATACAAGAAAAAAAGATAAACGTAATAATAGTAAGAGACTTTAACTCCTAAAGTCAGTTCATGACAAAGCAGACAAACAGATCAGAAAAGAAGAGAATAGAAAGGACTTAAAGTAATTTAATTAGATGAACTGAACTTTATACTCTGAAGGCAGAGAATACACCTTGCATTCTACCCTTGTAATGTTTTCTAAAACTAACCACATTATACTGCAAAATACCTTATAAAATATAACTAGTAATATACATGTTTTTAAATGCTCAAATTCATTCATTACTTTAAAAAACATACAAATTTAGATAAGATGTCATGCTTCACTTACATGATTGGAAAAGGTCATCCTGTTTGGTGATATACAGCATTGTCAAAGTCATGGGGAAAAGAGACTATCATACACTGTTGATAGAAGTAAAATTTAGTGAGGTTCAGAAATATCTTACAAAATTTAAGTGATAACCTTTTTTAACATAGAAATTGTATTTTAGAAATTTCACATCCAGTTATACTCATGTATGTACTTAAAAATGTAATTAGTATGTTTATTGAGGTCTTGTTTGTAACAAAAGCAACTGGAAACCATCCAAATGCTTATTCACAAGAAACTTATAAAATAAATATGTCATATCCATAGATCATAGGCTCATGTGAAAAGTTAGGCAAAAATTACTGTTGAAGGGAAATAAACAATGTTCAGGAAAGATTATATAACATATTACCATGTTACAAACATTTATGTATATACAGAACATTGCTCAAAGAACATGCACATGAAAACCAATAGTAGTTGCTCCTGGCGAAAGGACAGTCATTCTGTAGTTGGAAGGAAAGTTGCTTTTTATTGTATATACTTTTGTACTAATTTTTGTTAACCATGTCCCAATATTAAATTTGCAAAATTTTTTTTAAGTAAACAAGCAATAAGAGAGACATTGTATGTGCCCATGAGGCACTTACAGGATAATGGAGGATACAAACATTTACATGAAAATGACAATACAATGTGAGAAATAAAATAGATTTTGTACAGATTAAGTGCAGAGGAAATGCCTAATTGTAATAGGGATTTTCTTATAAAAGAGAGGGAAAGTATTATACAATGCCCCCCCGCTTCTTTTTTTACTGTTAGCATACAACTTTCTAAGAAAACAGGCCTCATTTACCAACTTGAAACATGGGATTCAAGGGTGCCTAAAACTGCTAGATTCTCATGAACAAAGGAAGCAAATGCAAGCAAAATCCAAGAGGAATTGTTACTAAATGAAATATGCCTTCTCCCTGTGGGAAGAATCGTTCTTTAATACAGTCTTCTCTGATTATATTTTCCCATTCTCTCCTTTCATTTCGAGTCATCTTTCAGGCAGGGTTGAAAATTCTGTTCGTGGTTTGCTGCTATCAATAACGAACGTAAAATATGTCCCGTGAGTATGGTCATGGACTCTGTACTTTAAGTGAATTCTCCTGTCCTGGGTGATGATCTGTCCTGATGGCTCTGTGTCCTCTGTGGCACTGGCTTTGCCACTTAGGTGACACAATGGCGGCGGTGCCATGGCAGTCAAGCTGAAGGCCATTTGCACAGTGTGACATGCCTCCTTGCTTTGTGCACTTCCAGTGGCTTTGATGATGTGATCATCAAATAGTCCATTGTTAGAAACAAGAGACCACTTCATCTTGACATGGACAAAAGGGGTGAATTACTGAAAAGCTTGAAGGAGTTAAGTTTCTCACAATAAATAAACAGCCTGGGAAGCACTGACAGCGATATAATCCTTTAGAAACACATTGATCTTTGGGTTTCTGTGCATTGTCTGCTGGAGTTCAGAATTCCACGCTTCTGGTAGAAAAAAATAATGGAATGTTTAAATGTATGAAACATAATAGCTTATTCTAAGGGTGAAAGTATTGTGTTAGCAGGCCCCCATTTGACAGGATTTCCCTCAAAAGTTTCAGAACTCTCATGTTGAATTTTGATGCCTTTAATGATAAAATGCATTTCAACTCCCACATCATTGCATTCCTGCACTATCACAAACAGATGCTTGATGGAATTTTGCATTACTACATGTCTCATTACTCTTTTTTCCTTGCAGTCACCACTTAGTATCACCAATAAATATTTTAAACGGATTTACTATCTATATTTAGAGTTTATTGTTACTAAAGATAATTCTATAAATTAATATAGTCAAAATGAATAGGAAACAAACCATTAAAAAAATCTATTAGACAAGTTCTCCAGTGGGCCCTTTAAATTTCTATTTGGTAAAAGTGGAAAATATCTAAAACAGGAAATTCATATCATGTTTCACTATTTTCAACAAAAGCCTAAGAAAAAAGAAATATGGCCAGGCGCGGTGGTTCACACCTGTAATCCCAGCATGTTGGGAGGCTGAGGCAGGTGGATTACAAGGTCAGGAGTTCAAGACCAGCCTAGCCAAGATGGTGAAACCCCGTCTCTACTAAAAATACAAAAATTAGCTGGGCGTGGTGGTGGGCGCTTGTAATCCCAGCTACTCGGGAGGCTGAGGCAGAGAATTGCTTGAACCCAGGAGGCAGAGTTTTCAGTGAGCCAAGATCGTGCCACTGCACTCCAGCCTGGGTGACAGAGTAAGACTCCATCTCAAAAATAGAATAAAATAGCTGGGATAAATAGAGATCCACAAGTCTTCTGAGTGGAAATCACAATTATATCAACATTACATTCTATATTTCCAAAAATATTTTCACCTAAATGAAGGTTACAAAAAGGATAAATCATAACTTATAATTTTTAAATTCTATAGTTTAGTTCTGTCATTGATCTTTCATCCTATCATAATATTAGAAAGCTATTTCAATATGAAACTATACCTTTTTCTGTATTCCATAGCAGATAGAGTTTAGATGATGTTAAAAAAAATCAAATTGTTGCAATATTATTTTATCTTAATTTCAACTACCTCCTGAGAGCATATATTATGACAGTGCAAAGATTGTAATCTAAGCTGTGTGAAACAAAGATAAACTTTAAATTCATTCACATTAAGAATTTAGTTTAATACAATGATATAATAAATTCTTAGATTTTAATCCCTTTTTCAATTGAAATGATTTTACACTCATATTGAATTACTGTTTCACTCGAGAGATTTTACTAATGCTTATTTTTCTCTATCTGTATTTATATAACTTGTGAATTCTCTGCAACCGATTAATGATCCAAATTGGCTTTCCCCTGCCAAGATGTGTGCTATTTCCTTCTATCATGGACTGTTGTCTTCATAAAATGAAAAATCATTTTAATATTGACTTCAGTAAGACATACTAAGACAAATGGCCCCTGAATAATAATGTTAGGCTTTTCAAAGCCAAATGGAAATGAATTTCAGATCATCTTCTGTTTGTGATTATTGGCACCAGTGCTCTTCCCATTAATACAGGTAATAAGAGCTAAATCTACTTTTCCTTAAGTAAATCAAAGGTAGTGGTTTATATCAAGGTTTTTGCCAAGTTTATTTGGTTTCTGTTCCCACTCAATCATTAATCTATACTTTCTGACAAATATTTAGCTCAAGATCAATTTCCTGTCTTCCTGCTATAAGAACCCTGTTCAGCTTGGCATTCCCCATACCTCACCGAGCGCCTTGCCAGTAGTTTATGCATAGCTGCGTAACTACCAGCATACATGCCAGTCAATGTTCTAAGCTCTACATGATTCACTAATTGAATATTCACAACAAGGAGAATTAATGGTAAGAACTATTATTATCCTTATTTTACAAGTGACAAAACAGAGGCTAAAGATTTGTCCAAGGTCATAAACTAGGAAGTGGAGGAGTCAGCCTTTACGTTCAGGCAGTCTGACTCCAGATCCTGTGTTCCTAACCACTAAGGTATGCATTCTTAAAAATATTAATTTTATACAACTGACTGATTTCATTGAGTACTTTCACAGATAGCATGACCAAAATGTTGAAGGGGAGAAGAGAAAACTTGCTTGGCCAGTGATATCTAATAAGTCAACACAGTGGTCCCCAACCCTTTTAGCACCAGGAACTGGTTTCAGGGAAGACGATTTTTCCATGGACGGGGATGGGGGATGGTTTGGGGATTAAACTGTTCCACCTCAGATCATCAGGCATTAGATTCTCTTAAGGAG